CTCCCTGGAGGCATGGATGCCTCCTTAGCACAGTTGGCTCTGACAGAGAAAGTGGGGGTGAAGCTGAAGCCTGAACCCCAGGCACCCTGCCAGGTAGCTCCAAAGAGTCGAGTCCAGTCCACAGCCAGAACCCAGTCTTTTGTGATGCAAGAGACAAGAAGAGGCCCACAAGTGTGAGTATGACAGCCTTTCAGATTGTTGGCCATCCCAGTGTGGAACACCCACCTACGTCTAGGTACTCCTGCTGCCCTAGGGCCTACAGGGACCACTCAGAGCAGGAATAAACATTCACTAATCTAACAACCACACAAGTAAATGCAAGCTGACCTCTGTAATGAGTGCTGAGGGATGAGCGGGGCTGCTGGGGCATGTGGCAGAGAGCCTGTGGGGCGTAGATGAATGGATAAGAACACATACCCACAGGCCTTCTCTAGAGCCTGGTGCTATTCTGTCACAGACTCAGGCCACTGGGCCCTCAGTTTCCTCGTATGTTGTCTTTGGGGTCCACTACAACACTTTGATCGTGCTTGACACAAGGTGAGCAGACAATCCACAGTGGTATAGACATGGGAGAGGTGATGACAAGACCCAGCCTTTTATCAGGAGTCACGGAAGACTTGCAATGTGAGGGGGAGCAGATGAGAACTAGGCAAACAGGAAGGAAAATGCATTCCACATAGAAGAAGCAGCAGAGGCTAGTTCCCACAGGAGTAGCAAAGTCTTAGCACTTCTGGACAAGGAAAGCAACTTCACTGACCTCCTGGAGCACCCTGGTCAGCAGGATACCTGTACCAAGACTGGCTCTCCTTTGAGAAGCCTTCTGCACTTACTGCAAGTCCCAAATAAAAGCTGCATACTAGCCTATCTTCCAGTTCCATGGCAGAAGTAGAAAGTGAAGAAGATGAGAAGCCAGCTGAAATCCTCGTGAAAATGTGAATGCATTTGCTATAGACACTACTGTCCCAGCTCCTGTGGGGAGCATGGGCACTGGCCCCCAACCCTGAAGTTTCTTCCTATCTATGTTACTCCTTAGTACACAATCTCTGAGGACTTCACAAGTGGGGGTAAAGATGCCCTTGGTGTCCACAGGACCCTCGAGATTCTCATCCTTAGTCTAAAACATATTCTCAGCTGGACTGGTGGGGAGGTGGGGACAGTTATCACACCGTGATTGGCAAGAATCAATGTTTTGGCTACATTAGGGAATCTTGGATTCATTTAAGACCAAGCTAAGTGGAACTCATCCCTGAGAATTCCTTGATGGATTATTTTTCATTTTGAACTGCACTTATTCCATAGACAACAGGAGCAAAAAGAAAAGGAAAGGAAAAAAGGAAGGAAGGAAGGAAGGAAGGAAGGAAGGAAGGAAGGAAGGAAGGGAAGAAGGAAGAAAAGAGAAAAAGAGGCAAGAACACAGAGAAGTAACATTTCTGAGGTTTCAATATGCTGGGAGAACCAATAGGCAGGCAGCTACACACCAAGGTCTAGAACAACCTGCTCTGTACTTGAAGCTAAGAAAAGAATGGGCCCCACCAAACCCAACGCCCAATGAACCTCCATGTTAAATACATTTGATCATGTTACAAAGCTGCTGTATAGCTATACAAACAGACTTTGATATGCTCACTCTTGCAACAAACACTTCCTGAGCCAGGTACACTTCCTGTGCTTGGCATTGGGAACACAGAGATTGTGGGTGAATGTATTCACCCCCTCCCTTAAGGAGCTCAGATAAGTAAGTCAACAGCAACTCAGATAAGTGCTTTGCAACAGAAAACAGGGTGTTCTGGAAGGCAGGAGGAAGGTCAGTTCCAGGTCAGGGGAGAAAGGTAGAGGGTGACAAGGAGTCACCTGGACAAGGAGCAGAGGTCAAGTTGTTCCCAGGAGAAGACCCCAGCACTGGCAGAGGCACCAGAAGTAATGGTCGCTGGTGGCTGTACTGGGGTTAGCACTGTAAATTAGAGAAAAAGCACCAGGAGAAAGGCGACTAGAAGCCAGGTTATGGGAAGACTGCAGTCTCACTGAAGGGCCTGTGGCTTTTATCTGCTAGTACTGAGGAGCCCGTGGGAAGTTTTAAGCAAAAGAAAGTCTCGATGGAGGTGTGAATTAGAAACAACATGTTCACAAGACTGTGGAGGTGGGATGAGGGAGGATAAAGATGGACAGGATGACCAATTAAGAGGCTTTTGTTTTAAAAAAAATTCCAAATGATGAGTCCTAAATAAAGGAATGAGGAGAGAGAAGGGCAACAACATAACTGAGAAGAAAGGCTCTTTGCGATCTGGGAGATGGTGCAATAGGACAGCTGGGGAAAGGATGGTCCAAGGATAAATTAGGAAGTGGCGCCAACTGAGAGGCCTGGACCAAGGGCGGGAAGAGTCTGGCAGTGGGTGGGTGGGCTGGGCCCAAAGGACAGAGGATGTATGAATGAGCTCATCAGGGAGAACACCAGGGATGATGTAGAAGGGACTGAGCAAAACCTGAAGCTGAGGACAAAGAAAAGAAAACAGGCAACACAGGTCCTGGAGGCTACAGTCTAAGGCTGGAGGAGAACTAGGGGTGGCCAGGCCAGATGGCCCAGGATGGCAATAGTCAGAAAGAAGACTCATTAGGGATCTCTTGCTGGAGAAGAAGGTAATGCAAACCAACAACAGAATTCACAGCATGTGTCGAGGGCTCCGCTGATAGTGCTGCAGTCACCTCTAAGGACATGGTTATGATGTTCCCCCACAGGCTCACAGTTCACTGATTGTTGGAGAGGCCATTCCTGTCCACCCTACCTGATTCATCAGCCTCTATCACTTTCTCATTTGACTTCACAGCATGCTCATGCCTGATAACATGTCAGATGTCTCCTATCTAGAAAACCTTTCTCATGACAACAGACACTTGTCCTATGTCACCTCTGGACTTGTGATGCCAAGAGCAGTGCCTGGCACACAGATGCTAAGCATTGTGACCTAAATCACGTGGTTCATTGAAAGCTACACATAATCAGTGACTATGTCACACCCCCACAGGTCAGTTCTGTGCTAGATTCTGGAGATACAGTGACTCCCTTTTTGTGTTCTAATCTATTCAAATGCAATCATTTCCCACAATGCATCGCATCTTTTGTCTCATGGCAAACAGGTCCAAACATAGGCTGGAGCCCTGTAATGCTAGCGGAGGCAGAGTTATGCATACCACACCTCAAGAGAGACAAAGAACACGATCACAAGTCTACTGCACACAAACTCCCAGCACAGCTGGGCTGCAAAGGAGGGATGAGAACTGCTCACAGAATGATTTGCCTGCCAAGTTAAGGATAAGGTTATTCTGACATGCAAACATCTAAATATTATAGGTCTAGCCAGACTCCACAAGCACGGCTTTGTTATCATCTCCGTTCGTTATCTCTCATTGATGTAACCTGCCTTCCTCCTTCTTTCCTTGCCACGGCATTACATTCCTCAAGACCACAAAGAGCCTGTCACAAATCAGCAGCCTTCCTCCAGGTCCCTTCTCCCAGTAGCCACTGCTCCCATTCTACGGCCTTTTATCTCCCTTCTTTCTCCCATACCAAATGTATGTACATTCACAAATGCTCAGTGCTCTACTCATCTTGAGGAGAATTTATCAAAAACTATGATGCCCACGTTCACTGCGAGCCTTAACTCTTTCAATCCAGACTCCAGTCCTACATTTTCTACTGGACATTTCCTTTGAATGCCCAGTGTCATCCTGAATTTGACATATTCGAAAACAAAGCCAGACATAGTAGCTCATGGTTATAATTCCAGGTACCTAGAAGGTAGAGATCAGGAGGATCGTGTTTCAAGACCAGCTTGGGAAAAATGTTTGTGAGATTCCTGTCTCAACAAATAAAGTGTATTTGATGGTTCACACTTGAAATCCCAGCCATGCAAGAGACATAGGAAGGAGGATGGCCCTCTGAGACTGAACTTAGCAAACTAAACGAGATTCTATCTGAAAAAATAAAGCAAAAAGGGTTGGGTGTATGACTTAAGTGATTAAAAAACCCTTTCATAGCAAGCATGAGGCCCTAGATTGGTTCCCCAGAACCATAAAGATAAAATTTAAACTTTCGTTTTCTGTGACTCCTGTCTAAGTCTAAAAAGGTTGAAAATTTGGGTTTGGGTTATCCTTTTGCAATCTCTCTTCTACTGGTCATTTACTAATTACTGTTAGCCACACAACCTCATGCCTGGATTGCTGCTGCTACCTTTTAAAAGGGTCCTGTGCCTCTTGCCATCAGATTGAAGGTTCCTAAAATGTTGTTTTTGTCATTTTTCTTCCTGGCTCAAAACAACTTCAATACGTTCCCACTGCCTTCAGGATAAAGTAAAGTGCATTAGCCTAGCACTTAAGAGTCTAGAAAGGGGGCTGGCAAACTACAGACCACAGGTCAGATGCAGCCCAACACGTGTGTCCAGAAATAAGGTGTTTCTAGAATACATACCATCAATGGCTTCCTTCATGTTGCCAAAGCAGAGGTGAGTGGCTGAGTCAAGAAGCCATAGCTATATGGAGGTTCTTTACAAACAAGTTTGCTGATATGGTGCTAGAATAATCAGATGCTAATAGGGTTCCCCAACATTCTTGCCCAGGATTCCTTATAATAAGGCTTTTGCTTCTGTGAATCTATGGATGAGCCCACTGAACATCTGCACCACATTCTCAAGCACTAAAACATCCTATCTCCTTCCTGGCAAGACTTTTTCCATCTACCTTTTCCTTCAAATCATGGCCAAAGTTCCACTTGTCTATGAGGACAGATACACCCATCACTTGCCATGCCTATGCTGACCTCCGCTAGCCTCCATCTCTGCAGCTACCTAGAAACAGACAGATTGCATGTCTATGTATCCTTCCAGCCAATGCTAAAGGCTTCCTAGGGCTCAGATGTGGTGACCTCCACAGAGCCTCCACCTTGCCCTTCATTCCAAATACCAGTCTCCAATAGCATAATATGGTAAGAAGGCATCAAACAAACTTACCAATGAAGGCTTGGAGTTCCACATCTGAAAAGTTACAGCTGAGTCCAAAAGCATGTACTTGTGCCAGCAATATCTGAAACCAATAAAACAGTTTAGTTTTAAAAGAGAATGTGTATGCATGTTTAATTGATAATATATATTGGGTTTTGATGTATCATCAAAACAGAATGCCCATCTCTGCTTATTTGACTAGGAACCCCTTTCCCTGGATGCCTCCCCAATGTCCCATCATGTCACATACCCCTCCTCTCAAATCCCTACAACTCAGCTCATTTATTTATGGTGACATATAGCACACAGCAGCATAATTCCTTGTTCAGAGATGGGAATTCCTAGACTGTAGGCTTTTCAAGAGTCTGTACTGTTGAATTCTCCCCATCCCTTATTCCCTCTACCTAGAACACCTCAGGCATGTAGATGGTTGGTCCTTGGTAAAAAAAATTTGTAGAATGGAAGAGAAAACAGCCTGCTCAATTCATTGATACATGTCTTAGTATTTAAACTTCTTGCAGGCCATGACTTTCACCATAGAAACAAATGCCTTGGTTTTACTGCTTTCAATAGGCAATGGTTTACCAAGGAGAGATTAATCTAAATGCACACCTTTACAACCAACACTCCCTATGGGCAGAAACCTTCAGAAGTTCCTAGAATCTAATGAGGCAAGACCAACTCTGTAGTCAAGATGCCTGGCCTGCACCAAGACCTAGTCTAAAGTGGAAGCCTAAGCTTGTCTGGGTTCCCCCAGTGGACCATACCATCTACACATGCAGGAGTGATAGTCCTCAAATGCACACTATTCCCTCTCAGCATCCTCTCTAGTCAGATGCCTTCACCCCACCTTCCTCCACACTGTCTCCTTGTACTGATATCACCCAAACATCATAGCCCAGACCAAGTCTACACTGAAGACCCCCCAAATTTACTTTATTTCAGTGTGTGTTTTATTGTGGTAAAATATATATAACATAAAGTTTATATTCTCAACCATTTCAAAGTGTACAGCTTGGCAGGATGGAGTACCTTTGTACAAATGACCATCTCCACACCTCTCTACATCTGCAAATGTAAATTCCACATCTGTTGAACAATGACTCCTCTCCTTCTCCCCAAACCCTTGAACCCAACAAGTTTTAGTGAAATAAGCTAATGAATCAGTGAGTGAATGAGAGTGAGTGAGCAAGTGAGTGAGTGAAAATACACATGACTCAATCTCCCCCTAGAAGTACCTTCCCCTTCTGCTAGGTTCCCAAGGAACCCCATTTTCAGATTCTCTTTCTTTTGGCACAATTATAAGCGTTAGTGCAGGAGCTGACACTTATTTTCAATGTTACACTTAAGTCTAAATGTACATTTGTGGCCTGGCTTGTCCTTCATATTGCTAGATCTACTGTTCAGATCTTATTCCTTCTCTTGCAGTATTTTTTTAGTGGGTATTGGGATTTGAACTCCTGGCCTCATACTTACTAGACAAACATTCTACCACTTAACTGCCCCCCCTCCCCACCTCTGGGTTAATTAGCTTTGAGATAGGGGCTCACTTTATGCTCAGACTGTCTTAGACTACGATCCTCCTACTTGTACTTCCCCATGTTACTGGGATGACAGGCATACTCCTACCAGTGTTTCATTGTTGTGTCCGGACATTGGCTGAGTTGGAGTCTTAAAATCTTATCACCAAGAACACCACCCTGCTGGCCTTAAACAATGATCCCTCAATCTCTGCCTCTCACAAAGCTAGTATAACAGCCTTGAACCACAGCATCCACTTCCCCTTGCAATTTTTGATTACAGTAATCCTTCCCTCTTGCTTGACCACTATTCACTTTGTTTCCCAGGGAGGACCCTCTCTTGGCTTCCCACACATCTGACTGTCTCATGTCAGGGACCCAGGGACCTAGTTTTCTTCTCAATTGCTTCACTGCCACTCCCTTGGGGATCTCACCCATCAATCTCAGAGATTCAAGTATCACTTCTAGGTGGATGATGGTCACTGAGATTTCTCTCCAACCAACTCCCAGTATTAATTCACAAATCAAGCTCTACATGTCAAGCATCTCAAACTCAACACATCCAACATACTCCTGACCTCCCCCATTCCTCTTAATGTTTCACCTACCATGGTATAGCTAGCATTCTTCTGGTTGCCAGGTCAAAAGAATGGAATTTGTTTTCATCCCTCTTTCTCTGTCACTCCATATCCAGTGCTCAACAAAACGGATTTTCATCCTTTAAAAATATTCACAATATGAACATTTCTTATAAACTCTGCTGATATTATCCTAGTCTCATGATTACAATAGTCTCATAATTGTGTCTCTGCTTCTACCCTTGGTGCCACTCCTACCTCCACCCATCGTCTACTCCCAGTGCAGGAAGAAGTCTGTTATAACATGAATCACTACCATGCATTCCTTTCCTAAATCCCTTACCTTAAAAGTCTTACTGGCAAGAATGATGCCAAAGGGACTGGAATTTCTAAACTAGACCTACTAGTCCCTTGATCAAGCTTCCAGTCAGTATGGTTTCCTGGCCAGTACTGGAAACCTCCTGTCATTCATCTATTGCTTTTTGGCAGACCTGATAATATCTCCTACCACCAGAAGATAGGATCTTTTCTCAGATATGTATCTTTTCTATCTTGCCAAAGAAAAGAAATTCAATCAATCAGCCTCCCTTTCCGATTAAGAGTACCACAAAAAGCCAATAACTTATTCTTGAGAAGAAATAAGGTATTTAGACCATTTAATAACTACATTCCCAAGCACAGTTATATACTTGTGTGGGGGTGATGAAGAATCTTGCTTAAGCCTCTTTCTTCCAGTTTCCAAGTGGTCACCATGTCTTATTTGCCTACCATCCTTAGCTCCATCCTTCTCCCCCTCATTGATGTTGTACCTGGAGTCCAAGTGCAAATTCAGTCACTCAGGATTATTTAAGCCCAGATCCCAGCAGTTCACCACAGAGCTCCAGCAGCAGCCTCCTAACCAGCCAGGCCATCTCTAATTACTTATTTCTACCACTACCTCATACAATGTCTGAACTAATTGCAATAAAACCTAAGTTTGATCAAATTCCCTACTTAAAACTACCAAGTTACTGCATTATTTTAATATAAATTCTTCAAAATCTATTCCAGTGGAACCATCTGTTTTCTGTCTCCTAGGTGCATTTCTTCTGCCTTCTATTAAGGCAGAACAGGAATATACTCCAGCCCAGATTAGAATGCTGACTGGCCCAAAGGAAAGGTATATCATACATACCAGGCCAATCGGAGCCTTTCTTCAGAAATGATAGCCAGATGCAAAGAAAAGGAGCTCCCTTCACTGGAGATGTAAATGGTGGTATAGAAGGTAGTCCCCCACAAGGAGGGTAGCCTATGTGTACTGATGCCAACACACAAAGAACAGAAAGCAGGAAGTCAGAGGGACCACTGGCAGGGTCAATGCCCATTCTGACAGTTCAACTTCTTGTATGGACTCCCTCAGCATCCTTGAACAGTAACTACCCACTTACGCTTCAACTAGAAGGTAAGAATGTTTTGCCTTCTTTCTTTTTCTCTCTCCTTTACTATATACCCTAGGTATAGAACAGTTCCAAGAACGTTGTTTTTGAGTGGATGAATGAATAAATAAATAGAGCACATGGGCTTCTGATCAAGGCCCAGCTCTGTTATTTACTTACTAGCTGTGTGACCTGGAACCAATTTTTCCATCCCTGTGGACTCAATTTCTTTATCAGTAAAATGGAGAACTCAGTATTATTGACTGATAGGGACTAGGAATAATTCAGATCATTAACATAAATCCCTTCCTACAGTGCCTGGAAATGGCTCAGACTCCCTGGATGTTGATTTGCCATTGTTATCAGTTCTAGGCCACAAGACCAGACTGGGTGTCAGATCCTAGCAGGGTCATTAGTAAGGTGACATTTCAAACAGAAAGGAGCTGCATGGTATTTATGTGCACAAACTCTTCCAGAAGCAATGGGGCCAACTGTTAGGTAGTGAGATTCAAGAGCTGCCTAAATGTTCCCAGCAAATTGCCAACGATCAGAGAAGCCGACAAGTGGTGGCAGGGGTGAGGAGAAGTGTGCATGCAGTCTACAGAAAGCGCTGCGGCGGAGAGACAGCACCTCCCAAATGATAAGAGACACTTTGTGCCTTTTAAGAAACAATTTTCACAGCAAAGCTTAAGAAGGCAGAGAAGCTTCTTACATCATGGGGACAAGGTAATAAGGCTATAAAAATGGAACTCAAATAAACCACACACAGGACCCACATGGGCCCAATTTTCCAGGAAAAACAGTGATTGCCACTGCGTTCAGATAGAGGAAGTCACACTTGTATCTCAGCACACCAAACAGCTTTCAAAAGTCATTAGGCTGCAGAAAACTCACCAGATCTCCCTCTCCCCCACTCCTCCTCCCCCTCTCTGTCACATTCTCTCCTTCTACAGGTAAGAAGAAGGGACAGTGAGGCCTGGTGGCTGTGTTCTTCACAGAGACACAGCACCCACAGTCAGGACAGACCCTCTTGCCCCTCCTGGGGGCCACAGAGATTTCTCCTCCCTCAGTGCAGACCTACACCCAGGCCTCTCCTACAATTGTGAAAACCTAGGCATGAGACTCCCCTGTGAGTCTTCCTTTGAGACTCCCTCCCTCTATATTTCCTCTCACTGCCATCTCTGCCCCTTTTCCACTTCTGCATCCCTGAATTTTGACACCCTCTAAGCATATGGCATCTGCCCATCTTTTTTGGTTTTAGTGCCTATTCTTCCCCTGCAGGATAGCTTTATGGTCAGCAGCATAGTCTGGCGTGAATGAATTGGTTCTCCCCAGCTCTAGCAATGTGAGGTTGGTATTTAATTGTTACCAAGTCTTAGACTCCCCCTCTAAAAAATGAGGTGATGATAAATGCCTCATTTGGGTCCCTGTATAGATTAAATGAATATATATACATATATATATATATCTTTTATAACTTGTCTGGCACTTGTTGCATCACATAACCATTATTACACTTGCCCAATACTTCAGGCAAATCTCAAACATAGCCCCATGTCCTTCCACCATC